GGGAATAACAAAGGCCAAGTTCTGGTAACTGTTAAAAGAGAGGTTGAAATAATTAGGTGCCATCAAGGTGAAGTCAAAGAAGAGCAGAAGAAAGATCAAGATTTGAAACCAATAATTGATTTTTAAAAGCAAGTGTTTTGCGCCTTGCTTGGGAGAAGGTGTCTAGTCTAAGCCCTGTGACAAAGCACTATTGGGCACAATGGGACCAGTTAAAGCTTGAAGATGGTATTCTTGTACGGAGATGGGAAACTACCGATGGGAAAGTGACGACTTGTCAAAAAGTTATACCGAGGATGTTACGGGAAGTCGTGCTGCGTCAATCCCATAATTTAACAGGAGGACATCTCAGAATCAAGAAGACATTGAGTCACATACGACAAAGATTTTACTGGATAGGTATGAGGCGAGATGTGGAAGAATGGTGCAGGACATGCAGTATGTGTAGTGCTAAAAGGGGACCCAAGCATAAAGGATGCCCACCTTATGAAGAGTTGCCTGAGAATGTGTCAGACTTTGTGGAAGTGTTATCGGAAAAGGTGGATGATATTCACCATCAAGTGCGTTCAAACTTGAAAACGTCTTCAGATTCGATGAAGTTAACTTATGATAAGAGATCTACTGAAGTCTGCTTTGTACCCGGAGACAAGGTGTGGTTGTATAATCCCAGAAAGACCAAAGGGAAGACTCCTAAGTTGTCCTCTCCATGGGAAGGCCCATATGACATAGTGGATCGTCTCTCAGACGTGACTTTCTGGATAAAATGTGGTCGGCGAGGTAAGCCAAAAGTGGTGCATGCCAACAGGCTTTGGCGTTATCACGGTCCAGGACATTTCAGTTGGGATGAAGTGGACAACAGAACAAATGACGCTGCTGAAGACGTGCCACCGGAAGAAGCCACTCTACTCAGTTTTGAGAAGGGAAACGATGAAGCTCTTGATGAAGTTTATACCACTAATGTGACTGTTACCGATGATAGGACATTTACTGATGAAGCAGATGAACCCAACATGAAGCCGAAGCCAACGAGACGGAGACCAGTATGGAAGAAGATACGTCCCGTAAAATTAAGAGACTTTGTTGAATTGTAATTTTGTGTTTGTAATTCTGTACATTTAATGAAGTTATTGTTATTGGTTTATTGT